GGGCGGCGCCCCCGCGACCGGCTTTGGTTGATTGATAAAGAACACCGCGAGCGGGCATGTCGGAGAATAGCGCGGACACGCGTAAAAAACACACCGCGAGCGGGCATGTCGGAGTCGGAGAATAGCGCGGACACGAGCTACACACCGCGAGCGGGCATGTCGGAGAATAGCGCGGACACGCGAGCGGGCTGCGGGCACCCAACAGATTGTTTGACTATCAACAATCCCTCACATCACTCATTTTTTAAAATTATTGTATAGGTGAAAACAGACTTAAGGAACAGGCTCCAGGGGTAGGCAACTATTTAGCAGCATATGCTCAGCATTAGGGGTGTTTGTTGTTTGGACAGACCTGCCCCCACTGCTAAAACAAATCCTCAAGGAAACACTGTAACTCTTCTCATTTGAACTTTTCTGAAACATTAACCAAGATGGCCTAGTATTGTTGTTGATAAGAGTCTGTGTTGTCTCGTTTTAATTCTTAAAGTTAACATAATCTGACTGAGGAATCTTAGACAAGTAAATATTGTAACTGTGGTCAAATGTAAATTAACTGGTGCCTATTTAACTTTATTCAGAAATTATTATTTAATTCTGCAATTTTCCTTCATTAGCGATTATCATCAATTTGATTACACAGATATTAACTAAACTAAACAGCTAGACAATGGCATCTCTGAATTCAATAATGACATGCCTTTAACTGAAAATTGAATGTTTAATCTTATTATTATACATTACTGACTCTCTATCCTCCAATTTGATACTGTTAAGTGCTTTTTTGTTACAGTATATTTTAATCTTTGATAACAGTAGGTAATAAAAATACATCATGTTAGCTCTGGTCCAATTAAAAAATATAAACAAATAGAACTCAGGACATTTTTGTTCATGTAAAATATACCTCATTGTCATGTTCTAGACTAGTTATATTTAGCTTTAAATAAAAAAAAAATACCCCCTTAATATTGTGGCAGTTTTATCTCCGTGGTATCGAAAATGGTATCGAATATCGATATTTTTCAAGGTATCGTATCGAAGTTAGAAATTCTAGTATCGTGACAACACTAGTATAATCTGTGATTCTGAATGACAGTATCCACACCGGCGCGGGGACTGACAGCCACACATTCTTCTCAAAACATTCATTCATCCGCGCAGTGCCGTGCCGAGGCACAACCCAAGTAAAGTTGATAATTCCGTGAATAACTGCAGTTGCAGATTTCGAACAGAGATGGTGACAGACTGGAAAAACTACGAACTGCAGCTTTAAATCACAGTCCGGTCGTGTCCTTTAATTGAAATTCAGTAAAAATTACTGTCAAAAAAACAACAACAAAAATACATAATGGTACTCCCAAACGCCTCTATACTTGTTCATAAAGATAGCGGTTCGTCATTCAAGAAATAACCTGTTAAATGATAGCATAGAAACACTTATAGAACACAGAATAAAATATAATAAAAGGAAAGATTTGCATGTGAAAAGCAAATGAAGAACCTATTAAATTTGTTTCTATTAGAAAAACCAGGTGCACATCACACTTCCAAGTCTGTTATCAGAGATTTACAATATTAGGTTACATAGCAAAATTAGTATTAACTACAATCATTTGACAAACTTATAACTCATTTAAACACAGTGTGAAGCATAAAATTATAACAGTTATAGTAACTAAAAATCCAAAGCTTTGCATAAGCTACATTTCAACTAAGGACTGAAAAAATTCAGGCAATAAGGTTCAAAGCTGCATTACAAAACTCATTCCAAGCCTGACTAAACTGCGTCAAGGCCTCACACACAGCATTCCCTTTCAGATCCTGGTGATGAGGAGGTGGCACAGACTGGACAAAAGGCAGGAAAGCCCTATTTTGCATAGTCAAAGCTGACACTGTGCCAGTCTACTGTTCTAAAGAAGAGAGAGCAGCAAAGACCCATCTGTGCTGCCGCTGCTCATCAGCAGGAGACGGAGGACGAGTCTCCATCAGGAGGGAAGGGGGGGTTAAGGGGATTCCTCATATTATACCTCAGAGATGAAGGATTTAACCAAACTGCCAGTCTATAAGCTGCTAAATCAATCAGCTGTCAAAAGGTGAGCTTTGCCAACCACATTATTTAAACAGGGTTTGGCAATCTGACATCCGTGCCTCACATAAAAGTATTCAACACTGTACCACTGCAATGATATCTGGATTATGTAAATGTCAAATATGAACTCGTGATATGAAAACAGCTTTTTCAATTTCCTTCCTTGCCGGCACACTGATATCTTAATGCACAGACACTTAACATTGCATTACTTCATACATTAGCGAGATCAATTAGAGTATAACAGTCTGAAATAGTCAGAACCCAGAAATAATCTCATAATAAAACCATCACGGCATAAATAAACCAGGTCCATTTAAGTTTCAGTGAGCTTTTAGAACTGAACTCAGTGACACCATAGAGAGTCGTAGGTCCCTGTGCAAAAATACAAAGAATTTACAGGACAAAAAATAATTTAATATCTGGCTATTTGTGGCAAATAATGAATGTTAAATTACAGATCTTCTCATCTGAAGCCGCAGGTTCTGCTGTTTACTTTACCATACAGATATGTAACTTCAACACAAGCTTTTGATCGACATTTAAAAATAATAAAATAAATATCATGACTGACGGAAAGAGTTGTAGCTGCTTACCAATGGACAATACTGCACAAAATGTGTCAAATGTGGCCTACTTATTGTCCTAAGTTACTAAACATTACACGTTTGATACGTGTCTGCTATGTTATTATATTACATATATATAAATCAAATTTTTATTCAATAAAATCATGCACAAAAATGTAAAACGCCCATGTTTACTGTTTACAATAGTGGGATATACCAAATTTATACAGTCGATGGATAAGTTGTAGATTTCTAATCTACTATTAGTTGTAGTAGATAAATATGAGAATATTGAATGAAAAATGTAAGACCTAAAGAAAAATGACACATATGATAGGAGCACGCAACGTTCCTCGGTTCATGTGCTTTGGAAGCTGCAGTGATGCTTGTTGCAACGACACAGGCATCACAAAAATGAGATCAGATTTCAAACAGATGGCTTGAGATTTACAAAACACCAGAGCAATCGAACTACGAACATTTAACAAAGTTTGCGTCGTTAAAACAATAAAAATATTTAATTCATAAGACGCTTTATGGCCGTTACACACTCTGCGTTATAATATGCTAAGGTTGCTAACAGTTAGCACTGGGAATGCCATTCAGAAAGTCAAAGCAAAGCTCCCAAATTTCCCTCAAGATCTCTCTAAACAGAAACAGAAGTGATGTATTCGGAGGTGTTAACGGCGTGTCTCTTACCTTTGGCATCGCTGTTCTCCTGCAGTGTTTTAGCGGCCGCCGTCCATAAATCGCATCCCAGCAGGAAGAGCACAATCACGGCAGACCTGCTGCTGCTGTCCGCCCCTCGCATTATTGCTGCTCACGGTTACAAGGCTTTTGCTCAACAATGCGGCTTTTCTATGCGACAGGAATATCTAGAGACTCGTAGCAGCGGAGGTTCCCAGCCATAATTTGGTGTTTTAGCAAATCTGATCATGTCATTGAACACCGACGGGCGATTAGAACAACCCTCCGCTCAGCATCTCCGTGTTGCCGCTGTTTCCCCCCATCTCAACTCGAGAAGACAGAAAGCCTGCCCTGGACTCAACTCCACCAGTTTAACCCTTTCCATGCCACGAGTCGACCAGGTGGTGCTGCTGGTCTTGTCCTACAGAAAGAAGGATTAGACCACCATCTGCTGTCTTATACGGTCAATCACCTCACAACAGCGGTTCTCAAACTCAAGGGCCCATTGTCCAACACAACATTCTTGGTGGAAGAGTGGAGTAACATCTCACAGCAAGAACTGTCAAATCTGTCTCAGTCCATGAGGATGAGATGCACTGAAGCACTTAAAGCAGCTGGTGGACACCACATACTGACTGATACTTTTGATATTAACCCCCGCTTTGTTCAGGGACTCAATATTCCATTTCTATTCATCAAATGTCTGAAAATTGTTCAGTTTATGTCTCAGTTGTTGAATCTTTTTATGTTCACACAAATAACACATAACAAATTTACTGTGGGGGGACATTTTTTTTGTGCTAAATATATTTAAAAATATTTTTTATATAATATTGAGTTAAGATATTCCAACTGTCATGATTTTTTGCTGAGTATGTAAACTATGCCTGATATGATAATTTAATTATACCTCTGAATATAATATTTATATAATACATCTGATATTATTTTTTAAATGATTTTAATAATACTATATCAAATATTCTATAAATATATGCATTGTGACAATTTAGTTAAATAATTAAAACAAAAAAACAGAATCAGTCAAAAATATACATTGAATTACATTATATAATTCTGTATTACAGTCAATTTATTTTTACTATGATACTATATAAAGGAAACATTTTGGAGAATGGATGGATAGACCATAATACATAATAGTAGTACTGAATCCTTTGCTACTATTCAGTATCCGAACAATTACAACACTATTCCATTTTTACTTTGATTTCTATGGGGATCTGTGGTTCAGATATCAACTATTGACATATGACTAGTATCTATTCAAGCTGTTGCTGGTAACTGTTCCAGTTTAACTATGATATCTGGATTGTGTTATCTGTTCCTGTTTACCATTTTAACTATTCATTAGATATCGGCACTTATTCTGTAACTATTCTAATAGTTACTAGTAAGTTAGTAACAATTTTACACTTGCACTATTTATTAGATTAGAGACTAATGTGCATTGCAATTGTTACTTGTAACATCTTTAATCTTAGTAAGATATTTCATCAAACTGTAAGAACAGTTGTCTTTCCGTGAGCCATTTGCTTTCTCTCACTAACATGCAAACAAGAGACAAGATGCATTAATAAAGCTCATGGTGAACTCTATACTTTATTTGTATGTAGCAATTGACACTTTTTTTCAAAGGAAACCAAATTAACTTCTCAAACTCTTACCATACCTTAAGTTACAAAAAGATTGAGCATTATAGATCAGTATAGAACAGTTTAACTAAATTTAAATTAATGTTATGCAAGTTTACTTGAAGAAAGAACACTCAAGAACACTGAGCGTCAACATTTGCTAAGATAAATCACTAGTCAGTTTGCCTATTGTCTGCCATAAAGTATTCAAAGTAAACAAGAATGACTGTAAACTGTCAAGACAGCATCCCAAAAGATAACCATACTAAAACAAACTTCCAAACAAACTTTTTATCTCTTTAATTACAGGTCTTGACCACAGGCACAATCCTCAGAGGAGAGATGCTGCACAGATTGCAGAAGAATGGAAAGACCTTCTCCATGAAATCGGTCGTGAATGTGTAATAGAGAGTATTGCTGAGAGGATCTGTGAATGAAAGCTGTTCTTCATCCAAATCAAGCTTCACTCTCACTCGCTTCGGTTTCTCACACCCAAGCAAAGGGATGCATGACTCCTGAGGAGCCTTCAGACTGAGCGTGTTGCCGTCAAAGCCGACGCACCAGACCTCGCTGGGCAGACTGGTGGCTCCTTTTCTCCGGACAGACTCTGTAGTGACTCCCAGCATCCAGAAGGTGCTGTCTCCCACATCCACATCCCAAATGTGTGTCCCTGAGGAATAGCCCACAGAGCCCAGAACACAGGGAAACCTATCAAATCTCTCCGGGTTAGTGGGAAGCTGCTTCCTCTGCATACCAGCCGCGTCTTCCTCTTCAAACTCATCTTCGTCCCTCAAGCTTGTCAGATCTTCAGACAGTATAAGTTGAGAGTTAGCAGTGTTGGGATCAAGCACCACAGGAGCTAAAAAAGAGAATATTGCAAAGATGTTGCTTTATTAATGTAATTAATCAATGATACTTAAGAAAAAATGAACACAACTGCTTATTAATATTCAAAAAAACTTGTCTGCCAAATCATAGTCATGTCATTTGGTCCAAAAGAAAAAAACAAACAAACAAACAGGAAATGATACAACTGACCCTCATTACTGTGTCAATGTCAATCTTTTTTTTTTTTTTATCAGATAATTTGACTTTTTACACAACACAAGATTAGGTCATGTTATAAAATGTCATGCATGACTCCCCAAAATGTAATGATATTTATGACCTACTAATTTTTGTTAAAAAACATTTTTGAAAAATGTATTAAAAACTTAAAAATAACATTTAAGGTTTAAGGAAAATATATTATTTTTCATGGTTACATCACATGACAAATGACATTTTTCAAAAAATGATATAAAAGAGAAATATGAAACCAACATAATACAAAGAGTACATTTCTAACGTGTTTTAAACTCCATTTTTATATCAGACGTTCTTATTTGCCATTAACCCCAAGATGTAGCAAATAATTGCTTGTTGTCAGTTTCACCGGAGTAAAGCTTTATATTGTTCATGACAAAAAAAAGTGTAAATGTTTTATAAATCAACTCACAGTAACTTATTTCACTAAGTCTTATTTTTGACCACACTGTGAACTTCAAATTGCCCAGGTATTGTGCGGTATCAATCAGCACTCCTTGAACTGGGTCTGGATCCTGGTTCATGTCCTGGGCTCTGGAAGCACATTCAGAGGTCAGACTCAGCACTACTGTTTAACTTCAATACTGAGGGAGGGGGGAGTAAAGGAGAAGAAGGCCTGCTCACCTCTTCATCATGTCCTTGAATTTCTATTGAAAATGTAGGAAATATGAAAAGTTAATGAAGCAAATGAACAGCATACACTAAATCGTTTTTACTATTTCTCTCTCAGGTTATTGTCCTCCTTTTAAAATCATGCAGTGGGAGAGCAGAGTAAACAATAAAAAACAAGCATAGAAGAAATAATTAAGAACTAACCTGAAGGAACTGGATCTCCCCACTGTCCAAATTACCTCTCAATTCTGTTATCAGTCCGGACAGAGATAATGTTTCAGCATTTATCTTTTCAATTTTGTCTTTCATGAGCTGTTTTTTCTGTGTTTGTTCCTCGTTCAGTGCAGCAAGCATGCCTTCTTCTTCATCATACAGAAGCTGGTGAAGATGCTTAAAGTCCTCCCTGATGACATCCTTTGTGTGCCGGACCTGGTGCTGAACGCCAAACACACATACAAAAACATGTTATATGTCATAGAATTCTCAGTAACAATCATAATAAATTAGACTCATAACAAATCAGACTTACACATATGTGCTCAGCCTGGTGATCATATTCAAATTTGGCATGTTGTATCTCAGTTTTCTAGTCAAGAGACTAAGTTCTCTCCGAAAAAGTCTCTAAAATTAAGAGTTTGTTCATCAGAATACTAAATATGGCAAAAATGGATTAAGGTCACTAAACATCATGTAGCCTACCTTTCGTTCCTCAGCGAGCTCACTAACAGGACGGAACGTGTGTGTTTTGTGTTCGAGTGACTCTCTGCAAACCAAGCACACGAGCTGTTCATCATGCAGACAGAACAGACTCAGTCTCTCCCGGTGAATCTCGCACAGCTCCTCTGAAACTAGGCCCCGGTAAACCAGGAAAGCTTGGCATAAGTTTTTCGTTAACGGGGGGGTTCTTTGTGGTTCTTTTTCTGCACACCGGACATTCTCTTGACCCTTTAGTCGTCCAGTACTGTTGGGTACAGTTTCTGCACAGACTGTGGCCGCACTGAAGCAACACGGGATCTTTGAAAATGTCACGACAAACAGGGCACGTAAAATCCTCTTCAATTAAGGGACGTTTCGACGCCATCTCTGCCACAATTTGCGCTAATACGCAAAAACCGTTCGTTTTCGTTTTCAGTCAAACTTTAAGTTGCACTGTAGCCTACACTTTCAATGCAAATTAGTTCTGATATGCACAACAGAAGAGCTTTGCGTGACAGTCACTTGGCCAATGACATACGCAACTACGTAACACAAACACTAAGGCATTTTGAACCTTGTCCTTGACCGAAAAAAAAAAAAAAAAATTCAGTTACACAAATAAAGTAGCCCACCATGGAAAGATTTTTTTTGTAGGAAATTTCCAATCGCAAACTTCATAACCAAAAGGAGTGATTCCCCTCCTCCCTGCCCCCAAAACCAAATCTAAATTTCGATGTCATTGTACAACCCTTTTTTTTACAGTCTATGGTACAACCTTGAATATGTGAAGTGAAGAAACCCGAAACATTTATGGTCATAAACAAAACATTACTAAAATAAGAACAAGAATCAAACTGAGAACAATCAAATTACTCCTCCCTAGTCTGTCTGTTTAGTTACATTTCCAACTTTCCTCGCATCTGATTGTCTGCCTTCTAAGGTTGGAAGCTCTGTTTTTTTTTAACCAATTATAGGAACAAAGAGCAGTTGAAGGATGACGTGCATATTAATTTAGCTATTTCTGACTCCAATATAATTAACTCTTTCCTCGCCATTGACGGAAATTTCAGTCTTTCCATGTTTTCACCGGTAGGGGGCGCTATCTTCTGAAAGAGCTGAATATCCTGATCAAAAGACGTGATGAAGAAGCAGAAACAGCATATGTAAGCAGATGCATATTATGTAAATTAACGTGATCATCAATATTAAACTACATATAAATCAAAACTTCCTAATGTTACTGAAATGTCGACCCAGGACGAGCTATAGGATCAAGCTTTGGGGTGTTTATGGACTCGATCTACTCCATCTATGTTTTGATCATTGTTCTGAATCTGATCCAGACAAAAACGCGATTTTCTCAGCCTTTTGCTTTTTATTGAAACCAACTCACATTCAAGTGTTGATAAACAATGCATTATGCTTAAAAAAAGAAAAAGTAAAAAGAAGAAGAAAAAAAGAGCAGATCTCTTTCTTGTATGTTCAGATATTCATAAAACAAAATATTCTGGGTGGCCATGACAATTTTGTGAAAATGATAAAAAATGATGGCAGTGGCTGGCAACTTGAAAAAAGAGAAAAAAACCACTGGCAGGGAAAGAGTTAAGACCTCTTACAATTTTGTGAAAATGATAAAAAATGATGGCAGTGGCTGGCAACTTGAAAAAAGAGAGAAAAAAACCACTGGCAGGGAAAGAGTTAAGACCTCTTACAATTTTGTGAAAATGATAAAAAATGATGGCAGTGGCTGGCAACTTGAAAAAGAGAGAGAAAAAAACCACTGGCAGGGAAAGAGTTAAGACCTCTTACTTTTTAAAGGTAAAAGTCTTTCTAAACTGATAGTAAACCGTAGGATTTAACCTGACCGCTAGATAATGAAAGCTTTCAACTTTATCAGTGCCAGTGAAGGAAAGATTCTCAAAGCCTATAAAGCAGGCAAAGTTAATTAATTACAGGCTAATAATTGCAGGCTTACTAGAAAGGTACAGAGTTTGATCAAGGTTGGAGCTAAACTCTGCCGGAAAAAAAGAACACACTAGTAGATAAATAGTATGTAGGGAAAGCACTTGTGTCCTGTGAAGCAAATTGTACAGATGTGTCAGTAAACGACTGTGCCTGGAGTGTCCCAACACTCCCAAGTGTCAACCAGCAAACTGATGAATCCCTTGCTTTAAGATAGACATCAGTATTGTGATGATGGAGGCCATTGTGCCACGTTTAATACACATGTATACCTTTAAAGGGATTTCTGAAGTACTAGCAGTAAAGAGTTCTAAACATATTCGCTCAGCCTCACTTTGTACAATCAAAAGGACAATTCAAATACATAAAGAATAGTTTCAAATTTCATTTTAATTTCAGATCTGTGTAAAATAGACGGGTGCACATCACAATACATTATTCATGGACTGAAATATGATCATATCCTTCCAAAGGAGAAAATATAACGAGATTTGGTTTTGTCATGACTAGGGATGTAACGATTCACTCGCAACCGGTTGAAAATCGATAAAAATGTGTGACGATTCAAGTCGGCTGAAATGTTAAACGAATCGCGATACACGTTTTAAACAGCAGGGCGCGTTTACTGTATAGCCTACTGTGAAGTTGTGAACCTAGCTTTACAGGCACAATAGCAGCGAGCACACACTGGCGTGAAGCTAGCGAGTGTTTTCACTTCATTCATGGAACTTGATCTTGTGTGAGCCAAGCTCAACTTCCATAGGAATGAACTGAAAACGCTCGGTTTGCTCCGCTCGCGCATAGACTGGTGTGCACGCGCCGTCAAACAGTAGACATGGCGACGGCAAGCGTAGATGTTGACGTTGACTCATTCAAATCGGAGGTGTGGCGGCATTTTGACTTTCCGTAGACTAATAATAATCACCACCGTGAGAAGCACCAGTCACCTCCGTTTTCATGTAAAAGTCATTAATACGACAATTGCGAGAGTCACGGAGATCACAAGGTGCATCAGTGTTTCCGTGGCAACCAGGTGTTGTATTTATTTTACTATCTCTTTCTCTAAATGTGTTTTTTTAAAACTCTTTCTAGTGTAATGATACAAATAATAACAAAATTATAATCTTGCCTTTATTACAATGTAAAACCCCTGTCAATCTGGTACTAATTTTACACAGTCTTTTACATAGTGTGCGAAGGTACCAGTGTCCAGCCTCTTGACCAAACAGACAGTAAGACTGAGTTGAAACAACCTTGAAGGGAATTTTTTTAATGTAGTTTTATTATTTGACAAATATATTTAAAATGAAAAAGAAATGTGCAGCATTTTGTCTGAGAAATAATAAAAGGGGACACTTTTGTCTTAAATCTCATTTGTTAAAAAAATCGTGAGAAAATCGTATCGTGAAACCAGTATCGTGAATCGTATCGCATCGTGAGATGAGTGAATCGTTACATCCCTAGTCATGACTAATAACAGTTCTTGTATTATCAGTCCATATGAATTGAAATACACTTGTGGGCACTGATTGAGGTAAAAAAAAAAAAAAAGATCCATATGAAACAAAAGGAAATGTTATTTTGTCATTAACATGCTCTGAATGCAACATGTTAGAAAAAAAAAAAAGCATTCCCAACAGATGAAATAAATGCCAACTTCATCCAACAATATCTAGCTATATGCATTTAGAGCGCTGAAAGACAAAATATTTGTGTTCCCTTTAGTTCGAAAAAGAAATATTCATGTCAGCCTGACAAATATGTATTTTAACTTTATATACAAAACAACCTGAACCTCAGGTTTTAAACATTTTGGAGCCAGTGTACACACAAATGATCAACTCAAAAATGTCCCATTATTGCACATGTAATTAATATCTATTAATTCCCCCTCCCCCATCTTTGTACTTACTGAGCAATTATTTTACAAGCTTCAATATGTAATCAGTACAATCATTGACAAGGCATGTAGACATATGAGGCTTTGCTGTGAAACTACATGATGCAATGCACCAGCTCTTTAAGAATAACGATTCTAGTCAGCCACAGATCGCAGAATTTACCACTACACCTTTATCATTATCAATAAGCCGCATTCTTATCTGTAAAATTGGTTTCTTTTTAATTGCCAATCCATAATGTACTGTAGGTGACAAATGATTTCTATACTGTACAATAAACTTTGTATACAGTATGTGACATTTAATTTCTTTAAACATTCTGTAAAAAATGGCCATTTATAAAACACTGCAAGACTGCTCTAGTAATAATCATAAACAGTTTTAGCATCTCTCTGCTGTAAACATGAAACATGGATGCCAACACTTTAAACTGTTTGGTGTCATATATTTAAATATGAAACAAAAGAAATATCAGAAAATGTGAAGTGTATTGTGGAATGATCCAGATCTTGTGCTGAGCTGGTGACTTAATACATATGATATTAAGTTCCATTGATAATGTTAAACACAAATTTCTCAGAAGTAATCACTGTGTTTCATCGTAACCTAACAGGAAGTCGATGGAGTTGATCAGACAGTGAGATCTTAATCATTGTATTGGTCAGCCTCTAGTCTTGTACTGGCAATGTGGCTCTTTGGATAGTGAGGAGATTGCAGCTCTATCAAGAGTTCTTGATCTTCTGCCATTTTAAATAAAGCTTTATGAAAGTTTCTGAGTGGTACTGTGGCCCAGCTCACAGATCGCAGTCCAGTGTGGCAGCTGTAGTTTATTTAGAGGCTTGGATCTGTAGTCTTCTACAAAGATACTGAAACCTTCGAACACAGATCCTCCACTGTCTTCATGGAGAATCATCCCATGGCCTCTTTATTCATCCTTCTCATCTGTTCTGCTCTCACGCATCTGTGGATTTTTCTGCGGTCAGCTGCTCGCGGTCTGACACGTCGTCATCTTTGGGTGGCCGTGCCCGATCGAAGAAGCCACACTGAAGAACCAGAGCAGGTGGGACGGCGGGTGGGAAAAGAAAAAAAAGAACAGAGGATGAGAATGTGATCCCTGGGATAACAGACATTATTCCTTTCTTCCAATGTTTTGTCTGCGAAAACACTTGCACAGATGTGGTCTTAAGGCTGAAGGACAATGACCCATTGAAGACCAGAGAGTCAGTCAGAGGACAGCGATCAGTGGAGATCAAGTACATAGATCTATTTATGGATATGCTGATTAAACCGATATTATTTCCTTTAAAATTAGAAACATTTTGTCATAAACAGCAGGGCAGTAATCATAAGAACTTGTAGACAAAGTTTTGACCGCACACACACACACACACACACACACACACTGGCGTTCCAAAGTTTGGGATCGGATTTCTATGTGGTTATACATTACACTCCTGTGTATGATGTAGATATCATAATGATATGAACATGTGCTCTAATAAAAATATTTGAAACAAAGTTTGGGATCGGTAAGATGTTTTATGTTTTTGAAAGAAGTCTCTTATGCTCACCAAGGCTAACAAATTAAACCCAGTACCGGTAATATTGTTAAATATTTAACAATATTAATTTAAAATAACTGTTTTCTATTTGAATATATTTTAAAATATAATTTATTTCAGCGATGCAAAGCTGAATTTTCAGCATCATTACTCCAGTCTTGAGTGTCACATGATCCTTCAGAAATCATTCTAATATGCTGATTTCATGTAACCTTAAACCTTTCATCAATTTAATGCATCCTGATTCCTTGCTGAATAAAAATATTGATTTCTTTTAATTGATGCAAGCACCAGCTCAGTTTTTTACTGACCCCAAACTTTTGAACGGTAGTATATAATGTTACAAAATCTTTCTATTCATCAAAGAATCATGAAAAAATCAGCATATTAGAATGATTTCTGAAGGATCATGTGACACTGACTGAAGACTGGAGTAATGATGCTGAAAATTCAAATTTGCTTCACAAGAATAAATTACATTTTAAAATATATTCAAATAGAAAACAGTTATTTTAAATTGTAATAATATTTCACAATATTACTGTTTATTTTTAAAAACATTAAAAATCTTACAGATCCCAAACTTTTGAACGGCAGTATATATATATATATATATGTGTGTGTGTGTGTGTGAAACATTCTGCACTATTTCTAGATCACTAATAAAATAAGTAAATTTGTGAAAATGTAATCTGATTATGTCATACTGGTCAAGTGCTGCTGCCATTAAAGCAAAAAAAAAAAAAAAAAAGTAATATAGAAAATTAGCAAAAAAATATATGTGATGTATATATACTATATTTTATGTGATTTTTTTATATATAGATAAAATCACAAATGGCTCAATGCCCAACTGCAACAGCATTCCCCCCTCCCTCTCCTTTATCTGTTACTCTGACAATTCAATTTAAATGAAATATATATATATATATATATATATACATATTTATATAATTTTATATATATAGTGTATGTATATATTTTAATTTCAAATGTTGATTTTGATCAATTTCATTAACACTTCGTCAACAACCAATTTCACCACAAGAGGGGGCAATTACATTGCATCTCAGTAGGATGCATCTCATTTTTCCTCAAATCCATTATAAGTGACACTATCTATAAGATGTATAATAGCCTGTTAAATGGCCTCAGCTGCTCTAAAAAAACCCTCTCAGCATATGACTGACATTTCCTCTTGTGCACCCACGCACACTCGTCACTCTTCAGTGTGTTTAATGCATATGTGTGAGTTTGTGTATGTTGGCCAATTAGGGCACATCTCCTCCATAGGGACCCAATCAAGTGCCTGAGAACAGCCCTGTAGACAAAACACTGATAAAATCACAAATGGCTCATTAATGCCCAACTGCAACAGCATTCCCCCCTCCCTCTCCTTTATCTGTTAATCTGATTTGCCAATTTTCATCAAGCTCTTCAATGTTCCCCATAACTCTTTTCACTTCACTTCCTCCAACCCCCTTCTCCCCTTCCTCCACACTCCTTCTCTCACTCTATCTCTAACAGCCATCTCTTTCACTACCCCCTGTAGTTCCTTTGTTTTGCTATTTCACTGAAGCAGAGACGCAGTTACAGACGGATTTTTCTGTTCATGTGAAGACTTGAAGACTAATGCCAACGTACACATAAAACACTTTGAGAGCAGTATTTCCTCTGTCAACCAGGATTTACAGAAAAACCAAACTAAGTGCAGTTACATACAGTCATATGTTCTTAATTGCAATGCGTTTTAATCACCGTGTACTATAGCTAAATGAAACAACAACAACAAAAAACTGATTCACACTACCATTCAAAAGTTTGGGGTTGATACGATTTTTTAAATGTTTTTTTTAAATGTTTTTGAAAGAACACGCGTCTTTTACTCTCACCAAGGCTGAATTTATTTGATTAAAAAACAGCAAAAACAATAATATTGCGAGATGTTATTATAATTTAAAAGAACTGTTTTCTATTTGAATATATTTTTTAAATGTAATTTATTCCTGTGAATGTAAAGCTGAATTTTCAGCATCATTATCATTACATTACATTACGCAGTCTTCAGTGTCACATGATCCTTCCAAAATAATTATAATATGCTGATTTGGTGATCAAAAAACATTTGTGCTGCTTAATATTTTTGTTGAAACCGTGATACGTTTTTTCAGGAATCTTTGAAATTCAAAAGAACAGCATTTAAAAAAGTTCTATTTGAAATAGAAATCTTTTGTAACATTATAAATGTTTTTATTGTTACTTTTGATCAATTTAATGTCCTTGCTGAATAAAAGAATTAATTTCTTTCAAAACAACAACAAAAAATCTTGACTGATGATCACTGTATTCACAACAGCATCATGTGTAGAGCCAAAGAAGCAGAGTATAAGTCTCTCTCTCTGTGTGTGTGTGTGTGTGTGTGTGTGTGTGTGTGTGTGTGTGTGTTATGGCCAACCCACCTTCCACATTGCCAGGCTAAGCATAGCCAGCACCAGCAGTCCCAGCAGTATAGCCAAAATTATTACCCACAGGGGAATGGCAAAGGAAACGTCAGGAATGGCCCACACCACAAATGTGCCGATCTTAAAAACACAAGCGCACAAACACAGAGGTCATTAATATTTTACTACCACTGATGTAGCTATGATATTAGCACACATACATCAGGTTGACAGCTTACTATCCCTTATAATCTCCCATCTCTTTCTCTCTTTTTACACTAAATGTAACAGAAATTTCCTTATGAATGTTTTGTTTATTCTTAATATTTAGTTATCCTTTTTGACAGTTTTATACAGTTCAAAGAAAGAAAGTAGGGGTGTTATAATTTGATTATGGCACTCACTCAGCTAAGAAGCACTAATGCAGTTAATACACATATAGAGCCGTTCAAAAAAGTACTGTGTTAAAGCGTACAGTGATTTTATCAGTAAGTGTTGGTGATACCATTAATACATGACTTTCAGTACCATAGTATTATATGGTACTTCAATGTCCTTCTAAGAATAACATGGTACATGTCAGAAATACCATGGTGGTACTTAGGTACTATGTCTCCGCAAAAAACATTGTTCTTTTTAGGGTTTTTAGTAAGTAGCTGTAGCCTAGTGGTTTGCACACACACTACTGTTCAAAACTTTGGGGATAGTAAGGTATTTGAATGTTTTTGAAGGTCTCTCAATATTTTGTAACATTATAAATGTCTTGGCTGTGAGTTTCATGCATCCTAACTGAATAAAAGTTTTCATTAAAAAACAAACAAACAGAGTTTAAATCTTGCTTGCAACATTTCCTGATTTTGCTCCTAATCATTTTCTATCATATCCACTCTCTTCTAAATAGGAAAAACTGACAGACGGCAAAAATATGAATGTAAAAAGACTCCCATGCTTCAAGCTACTCCATAAATGTCCTTTACCTTCCTTATCAAAGGTAAACAAACTGAGCTCATAGGCATTTAGTGAATCTTAACCCTTAGTTGAGAATCTTTTTCTTCCCTTGCTCTAATCCACGTTCTCCTTTTCCTCGGTTGTTTTCTACTTTCTTTAATCCGCACCCACACAAACACTCTAGATTACTCACTGATTTGGTCTGGTGTGGCAGTGTATCAGCTTTGATGCGATAAGGCATGGCCGTCACTTGAAAGGACACTGTGGAGTTTAGCGTGTAGTGGTCATTCCGTCTCTGCCAGAGGAAAGCAATGGATTAGAATAAATACAACACACATGGAACCATCTCAGAGCGAGCGGGACAGAGGCTGGCCCCTCGCCGAAGAGGAAAATGTCAGATTAACATTAACAGAACGCACATGGCGGGTGTCTGACAGGGCGCTGAGTTGTAATAGCTTCAGCATGGATGAGGCTTAAAGAGAAGCAGTGGTCAAAAGAGCAGCAAAACAAAACTTAAAGCACTTCCTTCAAACTAGGATCACTCACACACATGCAAAGAGCACTACTGTCCTGCAGACACACCATCATACACGTGTCTGGTTTCTGTGGATGTTCCTCTGAAGATGAGATGAAAGCATTTTGTTCTGACGATGTCAGGGTTTATGGAGTCACATGACTTAGGTGTCTAACTACATGATGTCATCTCCTGTGTCACCACCAGCCGAACATCTGAGGTTGAGTTAAACATTTGGTCGTGTTCAGAGAGGAAGGGTGGCCATGAACATCATGTTAAAGGGATAGTTCACCCGAAAATTAATCATCTGTCATCATTTACTCACCCTCATGCTGTTGCAAACCTGTATGAGTTTCTTTCTTTGGAATGAAAAGACTTTCATTGTATTAACAAACAAACAAACAAAGCCATCTGTTGTATTTCACAGAAGAAAGTAAGTCATACAGGTTTGGAATGACATGAGGGTGAGTGAAGTGTATATTTAAAACCCTACACTGTTCTTACACTTTACTGTCTGCACTCCCATTGGTAGTCGCCGAATTATGTTATTGTGCATTTGCATGAAAGCTGAACTCTGCTCAACTTCGTTGCATCAGCCACGGTCGCTCATGTCGCCTCAAATAGCCAACGCTCATTGAAAATGAATTATTGCCAGTCAGTTTGTTGCTGCAAATCACAGTCAGTGTAAACGCAGCTTAATAGGAGCCTTTGATCATGAAGTGATTTAAGAAGTGAAAATCACCAGCTGGACTTTACAGGAATACTGTGATGGTAACATCTAAAACACTGTGACAGTTTGTGAATGTTTAAACACTACAGTAGATTCCATGCTGCATCCTTCTCGGTGATGACATACACTGTGTCCCTGCTGAAAACACTGGCAGATGATGTGCTTTTGGATGCTGGTTTTCCAAGCAGGTTTCTTAAAGGGATAGTTCACCCAAAAATGAAAATTCTGTCATCACTTACTTCCTCTCATGTTATTCCAAACTGTATGCCTTTTTTTCTTCTGAACGGAAAATAACATATTTTGAAGTGTTTTTTTGTCGATATGCATTGAAAGTTAATGGGGTTCAATGTTGTTTTGGACCCACTGACTTTCATTGTTTGAGCTTTTTCCCAAACATGTATGCATTTATTCTGCAGAACACAAAAGAAGATATTTCGAAGAATGTTGGTAAGCAAAAACATTAGAGCCTAGTGACTTTAATCTTTTATCTGTAATTTTTTTTTTATATTTCTCAATGAAATATATGTCGTATGTGATCTATGTCATACAGAAGAAAGTCATAATTTTTGAGTGTTAGTAAATGTTGAAATTTCATTTTTGAGTGAACTATTTCTTTAACTATGTTAACCTAAAAGAAATGAAAGTATATTTGTGTGATAAAAGTACCTGTAAGAAGGTGTGAGCCCAGAGACGGGATCTGAACTTGATCACAGCGCTTCGCCCTCGATCCAAACGATCCACGACACACTCCACCATTAGGCAGTTGATATTAGAGCAGTTCTAGAGAAAAAGTAGAGAAGGTCTTTCACATTAATAGTCTCTTCCTGTTTGTGGAGGCAGTATGTACAGTGACCCTGAACATGTAAACAATTTTGAAACACTTAAGGCCACATCCGCACGAAGCCAGAGCTTTCCCTATCCGATCTTTTTTCCCCCTCGTTCTAAAAAAACAATTACGTAAAAACGACGTCGTCTCAAGAAATATCTGCGTACACACGAAACCACTGAAACCGGCTCAAAACGATGTAGAATACATGCCAGACCAGAATGTGGCGCTGTAAGTCTGCCACGGAGATCCACTAAAAACGTAGAAGAAGAATTGGAGCATGGGCATAAACCAAGGGGGTAATCCATCGACCGGAAGTTGAAGCCGGCCGGGTGCCGCCATCTTGTAGCAGAACTTCACTTGCGTTAGCATTTCCATTGACTCCCATTCATTTTGGCGTCACTTTGACAGCGAATAACTTTACATCTGAGGCGTTTAAAGACTCCATTTGTCCATTATTTATTTCTAAAGAAACACGACAATGTATAAAGGGCTCCATTACCTTCTATGTTACATTATGGCCCCGTTGAAACAGATTTAGTAAAAATAGGCTAACTATTGCGTCATAACCACTGACTCTGTCGCACTGTACAGAAATTACCGTACAGACAGGAGGAGAAGCTCGCAGTCAATCGGGGGGACGTCCCGTCAAGGGAGAAGCCCATAGATAATGAGTCCATAAAAGCAACGGAATATTTATCCCTGCTCACTCATGCCAAAGAACTCTTTGCTCAAGTTCCCCGTCTCTGCAAGATTAACGTTGGCAATTTTCACGCACAGCTACTAGAAGATGTACGTCTGTCAGACAGGTTGCTCACGTCATCAAGCTTAGTTTGAGTCGGTTTGAGTCTGCGCGTCAGGAACGGAAGTGCTCAAAAATCGCTAAAAATGGGCTTCAACTGTCTCAACTGAGTTCCAATGAGATGGCTCTGTCCACTTCTTATACTGTCTATGGCATAAACCTTGTGCGCTGTATACAATAATAACAGGCTCAGTAGCGTCTTTTTAAACAACCATAAATGGCCTGGTATAAAATATGAAAACATGTCTTAATCAGACAACAGACAAGCATCATAGCATAAGAAATTATAAATAAATAAATAAATAAAATAAAAATACATTAAAGTTAATAATAAATAAAGAAATAAAAGAGGCTCAGTAAATTCTGCAGCACAAAGACAAGCATGTAGTCCGCAGTTGTTGTTGCCGTTACGCGACATAGCGGTGTCTGACTAGGCCAGGGTCTACACGTGGGGTGACGACATCATCGTTTCACAAAATGTACGGATTGGCTGTACACACGAAATGCAGTGTGTCGTTTTCAGATTTATCCACTCTGGGACCCGGTTTAAAAAAAAGCGGTTTCAGGCTCCCAAAACGCCTGAGCCGTCTGGACGAAAAGCCGATATGATCCAAATATTTTACGTATACAACTTAAAGCGTCTCTGTGTGGACAAGGCCTTAGACATAAAATGAAACATTTTCTATTAAACATTTCACTCAAATTCTTCTGCTGATAATACAATTTGTAATAATAACAAAGTGTCAAATGAGAAAATTTTAAAATATAGGCATTTTCACCTCATTGTACCTCTGCTGATGTGCTGTCTGTTTTAAAAGCCTCACATCTGATTTTGAGTGATTTTAGTGGTCACATTTAAAGAGTTGAGTGATGGTGTGTGTGTAAGTAGTATCAAGGCCAACTGTTTGTGTATGTGCATAGGATATGACCTCTGCCCTGTCTTATCACATTGCCTAAGGTGTGATGGACTAAGATTATCAAAACCACCTGGTCCATGCGCACACACACTAAAGAGACACTTCGAGAGAGCAAAACAATAAGCATAATATGAATGACCTGTTATGAGATTTACAGGTGAACTCACCCTTTGAGGTTAACACAGGTCTCCATAACACACGTCTAGTTCAACATAAGAATCTATCCATCACATCTATGAGAGTGTTCCCACAGGGCGTGCAGCCATATGCTTCAGGAGGTTTGTGAGAGTGTTTGTGGTTCTGGTGGGAGTGTATGTGTGTACCAGTGTCTTGCTGCTGTAGCTCTGGGCTGTAGAAACAGATCGTCTATGGCGAGTCGGACCACTGCTGTTCCTCAGAAAGCCCAGTAATTCTGGAGTGTCCTGAAGAGTGGAGGTCTAAGCATGCAAGAGAAAGATGGGAGAGGAATTGAAAAATGAATATTAGATGCAATGTGATGTGTGTAGGACAAAACGGTTACATTCATAAAGCAGTTTTAGTATTATTTGTATCTTAGTATTTCTTAATATTTTGTAATCAGCTATTATTTTAATATTTTCAGTCTTCACTTAAATTTTTGTTAAATTTAAGTGATTTTGTTATGTGCATTTATTATTATTTTAGATATGTATATATATATAAAATATACATTTTTATTCCAGTTTTAGTTTTAGTCATTTTAACACTTCAACTGAAACTTATTTCAGTTATTTGCCAAAGCAACATTTCTAATTTCTAACATTTCCACCTACTATTTTTTCTCTCTGTATCAACATTTGTCATGTTATCTGTACACATTTTTGTCATATTATCCTTATAAACCTGAAGACAAACATTTTCAATTTAATTGAACTTTATTTATATACCACTTTTCAAAATAAATATTGTTCCAACACAGTTTTCAACACTGAATGGTTTCTGAATGCATGTCACAAGGAAGGAAAGATAAACACTTATTAAATATTTTCTATTGCTATTATTTTATTTATACAATTATTGTATACATAGTTGTATATAAAGTTAGTATTTTAGGATAAAATGTTAAAATAATAATAGAAAGATAAGTCAGTCACTTATATTACATAATGTAGTTGTCACTGTGTGAATGTGGTCAGAGAGTCAGACACAGAGTTCCGGGCCAAAACTCTGGTTTAGCATAATTCTCTCCTCTAAAGTTCACAAGAAAAGAGCTCTAATATCAGTCCAGGTGGTTAAAATTCTAAACTCAGCATGAACGCAGATCAGTTACAAGGCACAGAGACTTCATGAGGACGTTGTGACGCTTCATGATGACTGCACATGAAATCTGAACAGCGATAATGAAGTCCAGTCAAGAGAGCAGAGGGGTCAGAATTAGTCCAACACTCTCTGATCAAAAACAAGTAGGCCTCAGCAGTCACAGTTTTACATTTATTTGAGCTCATTAGTCAAAGCACAGAAACCTGAGATTTATGACAGCTAGGAACACAGGCAAGAGAGATTTGTGATGCAGATGGAGAGAGAAACGTTCATTCAGACAACTGGCTCTGTGTATGAGCAAAGATTCTGTCAGGGGGCGGAGTTAAAAATTGTGGATGTGGATTCTTCAGAAGCTGGCTCTCTTTAGGAAGGACACCCTCAGGGAGGAAAAGGATAGAGTGATAAGTGTGAGTTTACCTCTAGCTCCAGTGGGTTGAGGGAACCGTTGACGCTGCAGTGTACAGGTCCGTCAGTGATGATCTGAAGGGCATAGAGGAGGTGTTCCTCACGGTACTGACTGGGCCAGCCCACCTCCAACACCGTCCTGCTTATTGAACTTGGACCCTTATTATGTAACTGGGACAAAGAAGAGAGAAACAAAAAGAGATAAGCAACAAACTTAAACTCACCAAACTTAAAAAAATATACATTTAAATCTATTCAAAAATATTCAAGTAGTTCCCCTATAAACATTTATAGAGATGCATCAATAAGAAAATTATGGCTGATACCATTATATATTTCCAATTTTTTTAATATTATAGCCGATAACCAATAAATACCCATACTATGTAGTGTAAATGAAAAAATGAAACTCACTTCAAGGAATCACAACATTATAATGTACAGTATGAAAAGTGGAATCTAAATATTATATTTAACAGTGTTATTAATTTACAAGTGTTTTTAAATAACTTTAAGAGGGTGATGGAATGATAAAATAGAGGAAATGAGCATGAACAATTAAATGTCCAATATCCTAAAAACATTTAGAGTTAATACAAAATTAAGTAGATTTACTTACAGTATGAATCTACAATGTTTCTTCCAAAATACTACTTCCAAAATTGTACTAAAGTGAAAAACTATGGTAAATTTCCACAAGGGGTGCTGTTGATACCCAATACATTTAATATGAATCATCAGATTTTTATTTAATATGGAAGAATGTACAAGAATTGATAAACATTGAACAACACTCTGGGCTAGCATTAGCGGTTGAACTAAACATGGCAGAGCTGAAGCTGTTTCTAACACAAACCATCTGTACAGCGTCTGGCCAACATTACAGGCAATTAAAAAATTAATAGCTGCAGGACAGATGGCGTTTCGTGAGGCCCTCTCACAGCAAAAAGAGGTCAGGAGTCTCCACAAAAACAAACAACAAATAAATAGCTTTACAGAAGTTGGTTTTTGCTAGCTGAATGAACCATGCTACGCTCCATGGGGAAAGTTTATTGTGGTTTATTTCTTATAATAGATTAGTGTTTAGTTTTATTGTCGGAGAGAGTTAAAACAGTAACATTGAGTCACAAAGTTAAACTGTCTTATGTATAAATATGGATTAAATTCACTCACACTCTGTGTTAAAGATAAGATCTGCTGTACATCAGCTGTGATTTGTTGTGGCATGCTTGTATGTCTACTTTCTACGTACTGTATGCGTGTGTGTATGTAAGTGTATTTATTAAAAGTGATTACTACTGATCTGGATCCCTTTGATCACAACAAAGTTTTGAATGTTTGCTGGCCAATCAATAGAGCACATTAATCCTGATACTTTTATAATCTATCTCTTCTTCTATTCCTGTCTGAGGCTCTCCATGTTTACCACGTATGTTTTGTTTTTGTGTCTGTTTATTCTATACCTCATATATGTGTTGAACCTGAGGGCCGACGTCACCCTCTCTCACAGGTTTCTCTTTGGGTTCCCATCGAGGGAAAGGCAAAACAACCTGAGCTGGGTGAGACACACTGAGGAAAACAGAGAGAGGATTTTCAAGCAGGTTGTATAAAATGCAAACAAATTATCATCTACAGTCTAAATAAATATTTTCCAATAAACACCATTCAAATTTAAAAACCGGTTTTAATTTTGCAGTGTGGCAGATATCCAAGTTAAACAGGATATTTAACAAGAAACCAACATTTGACTGAGGGAAAGTAAGAGATTTATTGGCTAATACATCATAGAAACAGATGTTAGTCTTATTTTTTATCATATTCTATCCTTATTTATCCTTCATTTTGACCTTATGGCAAGACAATATTTTAAATGAACAGAAGTGTTTAATCATGTGGGCCTGGTGAATAACCTCTCCAGATCTCTCTGAACAGGCAATTGGATATTTTTTTTAAAATATTATTATTATGAAAATTAGACTGTAAAAAATGCTAGGTTGTTTCAACTCATGTTTGGGTCAAATATGGACAAACCCAACCATTGGTTTAAATTTTTAAAATAAATTATAAACCCAATGGTTGGGTTTGTCCATATTTGACCCAAACATGGGTTGAAACAACCCAGCATTTTATTCCAGTGTGCTCATTTTCTTCTCAGTGACACAAAAAGAGATCCTTACCCTCTGATCTCCACCTGTGCTCTCGCCGCAATGCTCAGAGTCAAATTCACTGGGACGCTTCTTGCGTTGTCCTTATTAGAGCTGTTCAGAGAAACAAACAAATATGTTTATTTGAAACAACAATCTTTACGCTACATTATCAAGGTAACATTTTGATATAAAATAAAGTCCCAATAACACAGAGTTATGTTAAGTGCACTATGAGACAGTAAGTCTCTTCTGTAGAAGGTCTCAGTGAACTGGCCGCAGTGTCTCAGACTACTGAACAGTTCCATGTGTGAGCCTGAGGCAGGGAACATCTGTGTTCTGTGAATGCATCTGTCCTTTGAGGGTGCGAGGACGAGGACGAAAAGGGAACAAAACTGTTTTCATCCGAGTGTCGCTGTCCTAGAGTTCCCCGAGTCAACTGTTTCGTCGGTCATTCTGCTGTGAAAACCACAGAATCTCCACCAACCACACATACACACAGTACACTAGACGACAGTCTGTCTCATTTCATATATCACAACAATGAACGCAAATATTATACAAAAGGAATTTCAGCTGGAAGGGAAGTTAAGAAGTCAAAGGAGAGGATGTAAGCATAGAAAAAAAACCCCATAAAAAGTCTGACAGTTGTAACTTTGATCTTGTGGAATAATTTGTTCACAAAAACTATATATTTACTATATGCCATATACAACTCACTGTGCGACTGAAAGGAACAAGGAGACGGAAGAATCTTTGAAGCCTTGTAAGATTCAGGTCTTATTAAATACTAAATCATGAGTCAAGAAATGTGATACCTTCATTCCAGCATCTACATTTCCATCCGGAGAGAATCAGAATCCAACCAACATAAAATAAAAAGTAGAAAAAGAATAATACAGAATATAAATAGTATATAGTTTAAATTATATATTAAAAGTTTGGGCTCAGAAATGTACTTTTATTCAGCAAGGATGCATTAAAATGTTCTAAAGTTATAAACATTATATGTGTATGAGTAAAAACATTTATAATGTTACAAAAATGCATTTATAATGTTAGAAAAGTATTTTAGTAAAACATGTATCACGGTTTCCACAGATATATTTAGCACCTGTTTCCAACATTGATAATAAATGAAATTTTAAAAATAATAAGAAATGTTTAATGCTTTAGCATCAAATCAGCATATTAGACTGATTTCTAAAGGATCATGTGACACTGAAGACTGAAAATTCAGTTTTACCATAAATATAGCCAAAAAAATATCCAGGAATATATTTTACTTTATAAAACTTTTGAATAATTTCAACTTTGTACAATTAATAATTACATAATTTGAATTACTTTTAAAAGTAAAGAAACAAACCAACCATCAGAGCCATATGTCATACACACACAAATTCAAAAGACTTGAAAGAAAAAACATATTTTTTGGTTGCTGCATGACACCTGGCTTCTATCTCTCTGTATCTGTAGTTTTCTCTCCCTCTTCTCTGTCTTTCACTCTTGATCTGTCTCAAGGTGAAAAATCAGAGTGGGCAGAGGAACATGTGGCTAACATTAGTCACCAGAAAATTTCTCTATTCTCTAGAGACACACATACCGAAACAGATAAGACACACCACAAATGCATTCATACAGCACACACACTTAAGTGCAAACATATTACATGTGCGCACTCACATTTGCAGGCGAAAACACATACGCATGCATACATAGACTCACCCTCCTGTTTGACCTAACCTTGCTCTGAGACTTTAGGATTCAGTGATTAAACCCTTAGGGAAATATCCCCTTCACTGAGAGCAGCCTGGCAGTCATCTCAACACCCCAAAACTAACATGCGCTCATAAAAACCTCCCTGTGCGTATGTGTGAGTAACATCACAATGAAGAGTTGTTATAACAAATACACTTCACCCCTCTGCCTAACAGAACATGGCCAAGGACATGCACACCAAGTGGGGAGGAAACAGTGTGATTGCAATTGCTTTGCTACACAATGAAAAGCAAAACTCCAAAACTGACAAGCCATTGAGTTACCTGGTCATAAGAAAGCCTTTTAGATATTTTATAAAAAAATCAGATAGATAGATAGAGAGATAGAGAGATAGATAGAGAGATAGAGAGATAGATAGATAGATAAACAAACAAACAAACAAACAAACAAACAAACAAATAAATGAACAAACAAACAAACAAATAAATAAATATATATATATATATACACTCACCGGCCACTTTATTAGGTACACCTGTCCAACTGCTCGTTAACACTTAATTTCTAAGCAGCCAATCACATGGCGGCAACTCAGTGCATTTAGGCATGTAGACATGGTCAAGACAATCTCCTGCAGTTCAAACCGAGCATCAGTATGGGGAAGAAAGTTGATTTGAGTGACTTTGAACGTGGCATGATTGTTGGTGCCAGAAGGGCTGGTCTGAGTATTTCAGAAACTGCTAATCTACTGGGATTTTCACGCACAACCATCTCTAGGGTTTACAGAGAATGGTCCGAAAAAGAAAAAACATCCAGTGAGCGGCAGTTCTGTGGGCGGAAATGCCTTGTTGATGCCAGAGGTCAGAGGAGAATGGCCAGACTGGTTCGAGCTGATAGAAGGGCAACAGTGACTGAAATAACCACTCGTTACAACCGAGGTATGCAGCAAAGCATTTGTGAAGCCACAACACGCACAACCTTGAGGCGGATGGGCTACAACAGCAGAAGACTCCACCGGGTACCACTCATCTCCACTACAAATAGGAAAAAGAGGCTACAATTTGCAAGAGCTCACCAAAATTGAACAGTTGAAGACTGGAAAAATGTTGCCTGGTCTGATGAGTCTCGATTTCTGTTGAGACATTCAGATGTTAGAGTCAGAATTTGGCGTAAACAGAATGAGAACATGGAACCATCATGCCTTGTTACCACTGTGCAGGCTGGTGGTGGTGGTGTAATGGTGTGGGGGATGTTTTCCTGGCACACTTTAGGCCCCTTAGTGCCAATTGGGCATCGTTTAAATGCCACGGCCTACCTGAGCATTGTTTCTGACCATGTCCATCCCTTTATGGCCACCATGTACCCATCCTCTGATGGCTACTTCCACCATGTCACAAAGCTCTAATCATTTCAAATTGGTTTCTTGAACATGACAATGAGTTCACTGTACTAAAATGGCCTCCACAGTCACCAGATCTCAACCCAATAGAGCATCTTTGGGATGTGGTGGAACGGGAGATTCGCATCATGGATGTGCAGCCGACAAATCTGCGGCAACTGTGTGATGCCATCATGTCAATATGGACCAAACTCCCTGAGGAATGCTTCCAGCACCTTGTTGAATCTATGCCACGAAGAATTGAGGCAGTTCTGAAGGCAAAAGGGGGTCCAACCCGTTACTAGCATGGGGTACCTAATAAAGTGGCCGGTGAGTGTATATATATATATTAATCGTTTGACAGCACTAATATATATATATATATATATATATATATATATATTAGTGCTGTCAAACGATTAAAATATTTAATCGCGATTAATCGCATTAATGTCATAGTTAACTCGCGATTAATCACACATTTTTATCTATTCTAAATGTCTCTTGATTTCTTTTTGTCCCATTATTTTTTGTCATTTTAATGCTCTTATCAAAATGGAAAAGTGGATCGGCTTGCTTTGTGCAAATGTTTTTTATTGAAAACAACATTGGCATATACTGTGTTCAATTTCACACTAACATTCTCACTTGGAGCAAATAATCTCTCACACAATGTAACACTGTCCATCAATAAAAGGGTGAAAGAAATACTGACAAGGTCCTGATATTGACGAGGGGGCGGAGGATTCGCATCAGCTGTGTGTGTGTGTGTGCTTGGCCATCGAGTGGTATTTCAGACTGGACGTGCTGCGATGATGACAGCTCAGTTCACAACGACAAAAGACACAGATCACTCTTGTCAATGGAACCATTTGGCAACTTTTTAAAAGTAAACTGTCAATTCAGAATCTTATTGTCATCCATTTCGGCGTCTCGCGCTCATCATCCACTCAAAACGCAACGTTAACCAACTATTTGGCCGGTGTTCTGACGATTCATGTTACCCATCGAGATTTGCTACTTACTGGTTATGCGCATGTGCAGACCCAGTTTTTTTTAACAAAAGGTACATTTTCATGTGTTATAATGTAATTTCTCTTTAAAAAATGCTAACTACCATATGAATATTTGTACGGTCAGCCAGTTGAACAAGAATAACTGAAAGTTTCAGTTACTAAGGAAAGGTGTGCTTTGACAAGTCAAAGATGAATATTTGATGATAATTTTTACTTTTCACACCGTTTTAAAAATAAAAACAGTGGTCCACAGTATACAGTAGCTACTCATAACTTATAATTGTATTATAATTGTATTTCATATAATATTAATCGACATTCTTTGTGATTGATTCACGCTATGGTAGCATTTTTCGACAAGGCAGCACAAATCGTCAGAACACCGGCTCGCAAGCCCAAACAAGTGTGTGCGGCGTGCCTGTTGTTTTGTTTCCGGTCTAGCTAGATCCGCTTGCGCTTTGGTCGACGAAGCAACAAAACGTCCTGTTGCAAAAGCATGTGAAAAAAACTACAAAGTTTGCTAGGCCAAAAAGACCGTTAATTTACGTCGTTAAAATGGGTTTGCGTTAACGCCGTTAATAACGCGTTTAACTGACAGCCCTAATATATATATATATATATATATATATTTACACACATTATATAATATATGTATTAAAATAATATATGATTACTTAGTATGGCTGTTGAATGATTTAACCATTATGACCCATCCCTAAGAATGACAAAACAGAGGACCAAAAAAGCTTTTTTTCTCAGTATATAAATACAATATTGCTATTTTTTTCTCCACATACACCCACACATAGGCAAACAGAGTCTTAAAGTATGCCATCCATTTTCTGTGACCCATCCAAGGACATCTTATCAACACGCAGCTTCCTGTTTTAAAGTCTGGCTCTATTACGGCCAACATTTGGGGCCCTTGCTTACAAAATGACCCCCCAAAACATACATCAAAGTGACACGCACCACTTACCTTATTCACACACACACACACACACACACACACACACACACACACACACACACACACACACACACACACACACACACACACACACACACACACACACACACACACACACACACACACACACACACACACACACACACACACACACACACACACACACACACACACACACACACACACACAGGTTGCATAGTATTTGCAGTCATTACGTTCCTGTGTATATTGCGTGAATGACGGGTGGTTGGGCAGATATTGTGTTGCGGTAGGTAGTATGCCATACGGAACCGTTGTCCACTGAAACTGCCTATTCACGCACCAGTGGGGCTCGACAGCCTTAGTCAACGGGTTGGCGCGTATGGTTGGGCTGCGGAGAGATTGTGAGATTGTGGTTAGGTCTCAGCAGCAGGAGGGACGTAGAGGTCAGTAAGCTGGGCTGAGTTGAGTGGGGGACGGAGGGGGGTGATTTTGGGACGCAAGAGTCACTGTCTTCATGTTTTGTCATTTACGCCTGTGTTATGGAAATCATCATTATGAACAGCAGCTACGCTAATTATTTTACCTTTGCTTTTCTGCTGTTATCTCGGGACACGAGTCCCGAGAAAATGGCGTTCGTCAGCTCCAGTTTGTATCCAGCTTCTCACGGAGACTTCAGATGCTCCAATCACAAAGCCTATGAAGTGACGACTCAACACGGGCGATATGGACTCTCTATGGTGGACGGCACTGATCCTCAACAACTCGTCTTAAGACCGGCGTGCATACTTGGTTCCGATCCAATCTGACTTGTAATGCTGCCCGAATCATGCACTGTTCCTTCGTTGGCCAGAGGAGAACTGGCCCCCCGACTGAGTCTGGTTTCTCCCAAGGTTTTTTTCTCCATTCTGTCACCTGATGGAGTTTTGGTTCCTTGCCACTGTTGCCTTGGCTTTTGGCTTGCTTAGTTGGGGACATTTAACATTTAATATTCAATAATATTATTGATCTGCCTTACTTAATGTGGACGTTGACGCAATTTCTTTTAGAAACAAACTTTGTTATATTGTTTTCATGTTATCACTGTGAAGCGCTTTGATACAATCTGTATTGTAAAAAGCGCTATATAAATAAAGGTGACTTGACTTGACTTGACACACACACACACACACACACACACACACACACACACACACACACACACACACACACACACACACACACACACACACACACACACACACACACACACACACACACACACACACACACACACACACACACACACACACACACACACACAGTGCAAGAGACCTTTACATGAAATTATAAGTTAGGTACCACATGTTTTGGGGTTTTATGAGGACTCTCCATAGACAAAATATTTAGTTTGTACAGTATAAAAATCAGTATATCACCTACCCCTAAACCTAACCATAACAGTAAACACTTTGCACTTTTACATTTTCAAAACAACAACATATAGAAAACCTGGACCAGAAATGTTGCCAGACACATTTAGTTTCTCAGACACAATTACTCACTTTATAATTTTATGACCAGAGGGAACACAAGGACTTGGGTGTTGAAGTCAGAAATGTGAATGATGGTCTCTCTCTGTGTGTGTGTGTGTGTGTGTGTGAGAGTCAAAGATGTGAGTATACATTATGCTTACTTGAAATTTTTAATTGGGATATGGTTGAAATTAAAGATGATAGTTACTGTACCTGTGTATCTGCAGCTCAAAGCCAATAGTAGGATGGGCATCTTCCAGCCGCTGTACAGAAAACCGTAAACCCACCAACAACTAGAGCGAGAGAGAGAGAGAGAAGAAAGGGGAAAACATGAAGACATCAAAAGCTTAAGGGACATCTGTAAGTGCTCAGTAAAACAGAATAGAGCTCTCCCCCCACTGGCTCATACAGGAAAAAGCCACCATAATTAACACTGTGCCGTCTTACATGCTGGGGGGAGAAGTGTGGGCTCTGTCTGGACAGTCTCACTGCTCTTATACCCCCAATAAACAGCATGAAAATTATTCAACTATAAGTATACGTGTAACTCATTCAATCATGAAATACTGATTTGAGTCAAAATTATAGCTATAAATATTATCTTCATATTATCTTTATATTATCTTTAAGCTTCCATTAATAAAAAAGCAGTCAACTAACAATGTACTAAACAATCACCCTAGCTAAAAGACAAACACTGCACCGATATTACAGTCATATTTATACTGAAGTCATTGAGATACACAGAATGCTTTTATTGTAAACATGCGCTAGACAGATGTGTTTGACCATTGCACTCATGTCTTGTGTCTTTTGCAACCTCTCACACATGACATTCAACTGAGATGCAAGATGGCGCTAGTTTGTATGAAAGCGTGATATGACAGACCAACTTCATACCGGGATGAGCGGTTTGATATATTGCAAATATCAGGAGATAACTGACCACGGCACTAGTGATGTAAAGACTGGATCATTTTACCCTTGATATTTAAATCTTGTGCAGCAAAATGCACAAATCTTTATTCAAGTAATTTTATTCATTAGCTAAAATGTTACATTTTCATATTTGTATTAGGAAATCATTATAAAGCAGCCAAAGATAAATTATGAGAAACATACATGAGTAGTTCACTTCTGTGTAATTATTCGGAGTAAAAGCCCCCCTGAAATGCTCAAAATCTAAATGTTGAAATCAAATAAATTAATATTTGCTGTAAAAGTATAACTCATTATTCTTTTGCCTTAGGTATATTGTTAACATTTTGAAATCTTGAGAAGCGTTTACCATATTTATCGTATATATATAAATTGCCATTTGTCCTTACGTACAGTCAAATGTCTGTCAGCTCTTAGAAAACAAGTCTTACAAAGCCATTTTCAGTGATTAATAACTTTTGTTGGTTTTCTGCTCGGCTGAACAAAGTCTAAACACTGGAATTTTCATTCGCAAACAAATAGTAAAATTTGACCAATCATCTTTCTCTCTCTGGCTGTAACTGTGTCCATATGGTGCAGTTCATTAGGAGGAGTCTGATAATGGCTGCTGGGATGGTTAATGAAGGCCAGTCCTTTAGCTAAAGGCTATGTGCTAACTCTGGAGCCCCATAAATGAGCGTCCCCAGGCGGAAACCTTCCTCACTACAAAGCCCCCTCATAACAGACGGGTGAGAGTAACAAGTGCTGTTAAACTTAAAAGAGGGAACTAGCCATGCTTCTTTTTGTGGTCTTGCGTCCTTTTTTAAAACCCACAGAGTCTGTAAATCACAAATGAAGATCACGTCTCCGCAACTTCATACATGTGTTGAGAAATGAGACTTCATCTGAGATCGGAGTTTACAAGATGCTGGTTCATATGTTTCTGTGGCAACAGTAATCATCTAATTACACTAATGAGACAATAACTCTTAATCGAAAGTTTTAATGAAACTCAGAACAGAACAGCGTATAACATGGGAAAAATGTGCGAGTTCTTCAAGTGCGTTTGATTAAGTGCATCTCACAACATAGGAATGAAATGTAAGATGCAGTTTCCATTTGAAACAGCACAAACACATCAAAAGCAATGCGATTTATTTAGATGGATTACAGATTGACTAAGCAAAACTGGACAGAGTGCATCCAGAAAGCATAAAGATGGCTAGATTGTGCATGATTAAAAACAAAGAACAACGTAAGCCAAAGATGAGGCTGTCAGTCTGTTTTTTACAGTGTCATCATCAGAAGCATATCGCTAGGAAGATCCCAGCCCACTCTGTTAAGAAATAATACATCGCTTCATGTTGCTGGGAAATACAAGGTGTTGTGTTGCCAAATTCTGTGAATAAATATCACCCTAATGTGACATTAGCTAAAATGGATAGGAGTCAGTGAAACAATGAACTCATTCAATGCGTTTTGTTTTACAGACCATGAAACTCCCCTCTTCATTGAATACCACAGTGAGAGCAATAGATGGGACGGGTCATGACGGATTTGTATGAATTATGGCTCACAAAAGACATTTACACTGTTGTTTTAAAACTACAGGGAAATTGAATGCATTATAATAAAGAGAAGATTCACATTAGCGAGACTAAGAGAATACAGGATACATGAAATCACAATATGATAAACAACTGCAGATTTGGTTTATTAAAATTAAGAGCCAAAAGAGCCAAGGCACTCTGAACAGTAGCTCTTCTGACAACGTCCTGTCTTTACTCAACTGTCCTATCTAATAAAGGCAGAAAATGCCCAGAAATATTACTATGAGTCCATATTATGCGCTAGTATAATTAAATTCAATGGTTCATAAATTCATCAACTGACCTACAGAATCCTGGGACTGACAGTGGAGGATGTAGGAATGAAGATATCACAAGCAATATAATCATAAGTTACTTTGAGCACAAAGTAGAACACGCTTCATACACAACTGTTCAAAAGTTTGAGGTCGGTAGGATTAATGTTTATGAAAGAAAGAGTCTTAGGGTCACCAAGGCTGCAGTCATTTGATCAAAAATACAGTACAAGTTTTCTGTTTCAATATATTGTAAATAAAGTAGAGTATTCATTTATTTAAAAAACTACTTTTTTAGACATTTTTAACTGTAATATCATTGATTGTTTTAGGTTTGACTTGGATATTAGCAACTGATGTTGTGATGTGACAACCAATGTTTATGTGCAAAAGCCCGTCCATATCAAAAGTCCCCACAACAATAAAACAAAGTGTTTTATTGGTGGCTCAACAATTGTGCCTCCATCACATCTTCCTTTCACAGTCAGTTGACTGAGCTAGAAGTATTTGTACAGTTTCATTCTGAAAATACAACACTACTTGAAGCTTTTACTTCAGACAACACGGTCAATACAAAACTCTGGTGTTCCTCATATACGAACTGTTTGTGGCACTCGGACCGTTTGAGGTGGTGTGACGAACATGTTTTCTGCACATTGGTCTTGTGATGGCTTATTACAGCTGCACAACATGGTTATGACCTACTTTTATGGGCTATGAGAGGATAGCTTGAAAAGTTTTCAGAAAGAAAACAGAAAATGAGAGAGAGAAAAATGACACGTATTGAATTAGATCACAGGCCTCACACTGATTCCATGTGTGGTACGATTGTTTAGTGACGCCAGTGTGTGTGAGTGCGAGATCATGACGGTCTCTCAGTTTGCTTGTTGTATGTGTGTGAGATGGGGGATATGTGGCCGTGTCACCCTCCTCTGCTGGTGCCAGGATAATTTGGTCCATGTGGGTTTAACCCCGGAGGCTCTATGACAAAACCCGTCACCATGACAACGTCCCTCCTTCCAAATCTGGAACATGTTAACAGGTCACAGAGCCAAACAACCCTCTCTTCATTTGTGTTCCACAGAAGAAAGTCACACAGGTTTGGAATGACATGAGGGTGAGTAAATGATGCCATTTTATTTTTATGCGAACTATCCCTTTAATGATCGTTTCCAAACAGGTTTCTCAAACACGCTAACTCTCCTTCTGCCCCACATTATTCAGACAAACTAGTCAATGCTAATGCTAACCATGCTAATCAGAGTTTCTATGCTAAGGACAGCAACAAATGACATGAAAAACTTAAACTAAAATGACTATTAGAAATAACTGAAATGTATGTTGAAGTACTAAAATGACTAAAACTGAAATAAAAATAAATTAGAGCATTATAGAAATATATATATTTTTTAAAACTAATAAAGAAAACTAATAAAAATGACTAAATTAATTAAAATGCAATCCTATAATTTGCTATGATAGAAGTAGGCTAAGTATTTTAACACCAAAAAATAAATAAAAATAAGGCTATTTCTGTGTGAGGCATTTACTTCGTCTCAGAATTATTTTGCTCCCTTTACATTCTACATGCTGCCACAAAATTTCTCTAAAAAGCTCTCCCACAATCCCCCGACATGACAGGCTAGTTTGACATATAATAACACAGACCTCTGAGCATCCAGCCAACTGCCTACACACACTGACCAATACCATTTTAAAACCGCAGGTCCATCCGCAGGAAATATACTGCCTATTCAGTTGTGATGCTCTGATTTATAGTTTATGAGCAACATTATCTTTTGACCTGCAGTAGTAAACACAGTCATAAACCTCTCTGCCCTGCCTCCGCTCTCAGTGAGCTGGCACTGTTCGAGCCCAAGCATTTGCCCGCGTTGCATCAAATTACTGACAAATTACATTTCAATTTGCCTTGGCTTTAACAAGCACTGCAATCCAAACAAACAGAAAAGGAGGGGAGTAAACTGGCTAATAAAGATGCAGGTGTGTGTGTGTGTGTGTGTGTGTGTAATACACAATGTAAAAATGAATTCTCAGAAAAATAAGAAATAATAATGTAAATAATACAGTAAATCATACTTATGTATAAATTAATGAAAACGGGTTAAACCATGTAATTTACTTATCAGATTATATTCAGTTCATTATAATTAACCACACAAAAATCTATATTCAATGCAATAGTGGACATGTTGAATTCAATTAGCAATGTGCAAGATGAAATGAACGCTGCAAATAGATTCACAAAGACAGTGAGTCCATTAAAAACCCTCTCTGCAAAGCTGACTATTGTTACTGCAGCTCAAATTCATTATTTATATCATTATCATTGTTTGTTTCTGTGTATATACCTGCAAATGAGATGCAGGCAGGATGTTGTGTTAGGAGTGCGTGCATGAGTGTGTTGTGACGGGTCAAGAGTGTGTTTTGTAACCTTTGTAATTGCACCCCAGGCTTAGATATTTGGGATGGCTGGAGACGGGTTGTCATGGT